GCCACAGTGCTCGGCACCACCACACACGGTGGCCACAGTGCTCGGCACCACCACACACGGTGGCCACAGTGCTCGGCACCACCACACACAGCCACAGTGCTCGGCACCACCACACACACAGCCACAGTGCTCGGCACCACCACACACACGGCCACAGTGCTCGGCACCACCACACACAGCCACAGTGCTCGGCACCACCACACACACAGCCACAGTGCTCGGCACCACCACACACACAGCCACAGTGCTCGGCACCACCACACACGGTGGCCACAGTGCTCGGCACCACCACACACACAGCCACAGTGCTCGGCACCACCACACACGGTGGCCACAGTGCTCGGCACCACCACACACAGCCACAGTGCTCGGCACCACCACACACGGTGGCCACAGTGCTCGGCACCACCACACACGGTGGCCACAGTGCTCGGCACCACCACACACAGCCACAGTGCTCGGCACCACCACACACAGCCACAGTGCTCGGCACCACCACACACGGTGGCCACAGTGCTCGGCACCACCACACACAGCCGTCTTTACACCGGTAATTCCTCATAAATTAGTCAGAAAATAAAGAGGACAATTTGGTAGGTATAAAACAGTGAAGAAGAGCATTGTTGTCTTCCAGGTACAAGAGTCCCAGTTACTCTCATATAATATATACTCTTACGTTATTGTCTCATAAATCATCACTATGGAGTCCCAGTTATCAAGTAATGACACATTATTCCATTTTATATTTTGTGCAGAAACATATCACAGACCTGTCACTTATTTTAACATTCTGGAAGTTTTCACAACCGATGGGTCCCGGGTTTGATTCCCTAGCAGGACGAAACATTTGGGCACGTTTTTCTACCTGTGTTCACCTAGCAGTAAGTTGGTCCCCGGGAGTTAGAAAACAGTTGTGGGTTGTATACTTGGGGAAGGTCAGTAGTAGGCTTAAGAGGACCTCGATAAGCCTATCAGGCTTCCTGTCCCCGACATTGGGAACCATTTGGGCAAAGGCATGAAATGTGGAGCATTTCTGGTGGGCTTGTGACTAGAAGACTTGGAGGGGCGCCTCGCAGCCACCACCAACAACCTGTTGTATCCAGTCTTAAGTTTATAGTGTTGTAACCATGCAAGTTCAATCATGGGGTTAGGACTAGGTAGGGCAGGGCTCTAGTAAGGTAGATTGCATTAAACTAGGATGAATAAGTCTGCTTGTGTTGAAGTGGATCAAGTTAGGAACTAGCAAGCACCAGTAAGTGGACGGTTGTGCGTGATAGACCTGTCTAACGATAGACCTGTCTGACGATAGACCTGCTGTCTGCACGTGTGGCCAACGTGCTGGTCAACCCGTTCTTCTCATAAGTACATCGCACTTTGACCTAAATATCCCGAAGGACAAAAACTTATGTACTAAAAATGATAGCGACTCGCGAAATTGACGTGATGTCCAGTTTAGTGTTGGTCGTTGGGTCGGTTAGTGGGGGCAGTTTAGTGAGGTCGGGAACGCTCGGAGAACGGGCTGGCCGCTCTAGAAGGCTTGACGTTCTGTGAGAAGTTATTGATGGTCTGTGACCTGACCAGGATGAGGCACTCGTCTCCACTGATAACCAGGAACTAAAGGAACAGTTAACATCTTGTCCAATATCACATGACGTTCATGGAGTGAGGAGCCTGAGGAGCGCTCGCTCGCTCCTCACAAACACAAAGACAAACAAGCAAATATTATCATTACAACTACTTCATAAATCATTGAACAACATAATCACTTAACTATATTAAAGCGTGTTAATACTGTTCATATAACTATGGGCAACACAATAGTTAAACGCTTAAATGTAATAACAAACTATAAGAACTAATTCTTCACGCGGAACTCAACGTTTACATTTACAAGTTAAAAACGACAGTTTCAAGAAATTGGGTTTACAAATAAAAAGACCAAATAAAACAAGTACAAGATAAATTACAATTGACTTAAACAGTGAATCTTGAAAACGGAACAAAGAAATATTCTTTAGTTCCAACACACGTTAGTAAAAACCGTTGGTATTATGCTTTGTTTAAATGATTATTTATCAAACTCTTGACGCAATATAAGAATTGAGAAAATGAGGGAAGCGAGATATATATAATCCATTTTGTTGTATATGATAACTGCGTTATTAACCGAACAAATATCTGCACATGAACCACACCTGAATCAAATAAACGCGATAAATAATAAGCAAATCAATCAATATAAGTATCCTTGAGCGAGTCTGAGATTTGAACTGTTACAGCGTTAATTAATATTGTTACTTAACCGAGACACACTGGCCGTCCCTAGCCCACTCCGCTAGTGCACCATCCTACACCTGTCAGGCACATATATGTCCCGTCATGGAGGCTGAGCCATCATAAAAGTCACCTCCATATGCTTGGTATCCTGGTCGACCTTCAAGCTTGGTACTCTGGTCGATCTTTAAACTTGGTACTCTGGTCGATCTTTAAACTTGGTACTCTAGTCTATCGTTCAAGCTTGGTAATATGGTCGATCTTTAAACTTGGTATCCTGGTCGACCTTCAAGCTTGGTGCTCTGGTCTATCGTTAAACTTGGTATACTGGTCGACCTTTAAGCATAATACTCTGGTCGACCTTTGAGCATTGTACTCAGGTCGACCTTCAAGCTGGGTACTCTGGTCGTACTTAACAGGAAAACAACAGTGAGCTTAATATATGTTAAACCATTCTTATAATCTATTATACTCAACAGCATGTCAATGTGTTTGATACATGTACAATATATACAATATTTTCATTAATATAAAACATTACCTGTACACAAACTGAACATTAGAATGTCACCAATGCACAAATCCATTGTATATATGCGTCAAATAATTAATATAATTCACATGGAGCATCAGTATTTTTTTGTACAATAAGTCAACAGAAATACATTGAAAATATAGCATTATAACCAAGATAGCATTATAACCAAGATAGCATTATAACTGTGGTGAGGAATGTTAACACTGGAATGGTGGGATGATTACTCTCAGTACAGAGCGATGTGATCTTGGCAACCCGTTCTCGCACTTTCTTACAGTCAATATTGACTTATTAAATACGTGCATATGTGACATACTAAACATACTAGTTTACCTTGAAAAGCTTCATAGAAAACACCGACCTTACCTAACCTTCTTAGTATGTTAAGATAAGCATCTTTTTGCTTCGTAATTACAATTATTGCTTAACCTATACCTATAATAGGTTAAGTAATAATTGTAATTAAGTAATAATAACCTATACCTATAATAGGTTAAGTAATAATTGTAATTACGAAGCAATAAGATGCTTATCTTAACATACTAAAAAGGTTAGGTAAGGTCGGTGTTTTCTATGAAGCTTTTCAAGGTAAACTAGTATGTTTAGTATGTCACATATGCACGTATTTAATAAGTCAATATTGACTGTAAGAAAGTGCGAGAACGGGTTGTCTTGGCCCTTGTGGTGGGCTTATCCTCTGGAGGGTTATTAAGGCAACCACAAGAGCTTACTGACCAAGTAAGTATACCTTACTCCTGAACATTGTCCAAGACTAAAGTAAACTGTATGTACACTAAGGAGCAGGGTACACCTCCGTGTACAGACCCTGTGTGTGGTGAACTGCTCCTTCCTGGTCTTGTGCGACCCATCATCATGCATCACATTCTCCAGTCAAAGTCAATGCAACTTTGGCACAAACCACAAAATTCTTTGAATATCTTTGTTGCCGTTTAACTCAGGAATCTCCTGTATTTTGATAGTAATGTTTGTAAATCAAATATTGGGACACGGTATAAATGTCTGTATGAAAATAACTTGGTGAGCAATGTCTTTTAATGCCTGTGGCATCAGCTGAAGAGCCACACCTGTGATACTCCACTTAGTCGAGGCCACACCTGTGATACTCCACTTAGTCGAGGCCACACCTGTGATAATCCACTTAGTCGAGGCCACACCTGTGATACTCCACTTAGTCGAGGCCACACCTGTGATAATCCACTTAGTCGAGGCCACACCTGTGATAATCCACTTAGTCGAGGCCACACCTGTGATACTCCACTTAGTCGAGGCCACACCTGTGATAATCCACTTAGTCGAGGCCACACCTGTG